TGATTTAGATGGTGTATATATATATATATGAGCGAACCTATATACGGACCCCCTAGGATCTTGATACTGCTTTTACAAAAAAGACGGCTAGCCTATATTAAGATCTAGACCTAGCCATCCACATCCAGATGTCTTTTGCTCAGCCAGAGCAAGCCTGCTAGTCATCCTACGGACATAGCTTGCCCTTCAAAAAGCCAACTGCAGATGCCGAGGTAAGCTTGCACATTTACACTGTAGATACATTATTATAATTCTAGTACTTAAATTGCATTGGCCAGCAAGCAATAATAATCTAGAGTCGAGGGCCGGCAAGGCTATGGAAAAGACCCGACTTCCATCGGCCCTGCAACTCCTCCTGATGAAGGAAGTCCTCAAGCTGTGTCAGATCTGCCCAGCTCCAGTCACAGGTCACCTTAGGATTCATACCCCAACAGCTGAGACTATTTTTGTCACTGGGTTGGGGTCAGTAGGAATTCTAAACTCCAGGGTTTGGGGTTTAGGGTTTAGGGGGATATACCCGGAAGTTTCGGGATCAGGCTGAGAGCTTGAGGTTTAGGGTTTAGGTTATAAGCCCTTAACCCCAAACCCTAGAGTAAAGGGCTGAGGGTTTAGGGTAGAGGGTTTAGAATTTATGGCCTAGGTTATAAGCCCAAAACCCAAAACCCTAAATAATCAAACTAAGCAATCGTAGAGATACCTCGAGGAATCCGAAGTGCATATGATGCACCCAAACGAAGCTTTCGAAGTATGGATCAAAGCTTAACAAGCTACTCGAAAACACATCCTTCGGAGCCAACGGAGGGCCTGGAGTTTCTTGGGTGTACAGGGTGTAGGGTTTAGGTTTTAGGGGTGTTGGGGTTAAGGGGTTTGGGGTTTGGGGGGTTGAGGGTTTTGGGGTTTAGGATCCCAGCCCAGGCACGAGGTCCTCGGCGCGGAACTGGAGGCGGTCTGGATCGTCGTCGTCTGGCCGGATGATGTGCTGCTGATCTTCGAGTTCTGCCTCGGGGCGACTCTGCTGCATGCTGGGTCTCATTGGGAGGAGAGGCAACGCAGATACAATTACTATGAAGCAAAAGCACCATTTCGAGCTCATCCTTGTACTTCACGATGGAGGTGCAAAACTCACTCGGGTAGTGCTCGCTCCACTTCAAAGGTGGAGCTGCCCTCACTTTTTTGACCCCGTCCTGTCCAACAGTCCTGATGACCAAGTTGGCCCCAGCCTCAAGCTGCCTGTCTCGAAGCTCCTTTCGTTTCCTCTTCGAAAGCTTCCGATCGAACTTCTTCACAATAGCAGACGTGCCCAGCAGCCTTGGTTAAATTCGCAGACTCCTGTGGTTGATCCTATAGAGCGATACAAAAATAAGCATGGCAGGGACAAGCCTCAGCTTAGCGACCACGTCGATTTCGGAGCAAAGTGTCCATAGCATGCCAAGTAGAATTTCTTGAAGTAGACAGAAGGTTGGCAGTTTTGGATGACATACAGAAGCGGTTTGAAGAATCGCAACACCGAGCCGCCAGGTTGCTCGATCTTAGTTGGGCCGAGATCATAACCAGCTTTTAAAGTCGAGCCACAACCTACATCTCTGAGTTGCAGCTATGTGTCAATCCACTCTACATCCAGCACATATGCTAACAAGAGCAGCAGTGCTGTGCGTGTCGCGATTAAATTGGCCGTGCGGACCGAAGTCCGATTGGTGTCACCATAGGCCCCATCATCCGGCTGGCGCTTATGCACACTGCAACTCATGAAGACCCACCTTTGCAGGCATGTATACTCGTGCAATACAGGCTACTCGATCATGCACCTTCGACATCCTTCGACTGCTGATCATGAGTATTGAAGCCAAATCACAAGCTGCATGGGACTGCAGCCCAAAGCAATCCGTTGCGCTTCAGGCGCATCACGTCCCTGACCTGATGGGGGCCACGGCAGAATATGATCTGATTATTTATATAAGTTTAGATATAC